CAGTATACAATCGCGGGTTTGTCGTTAAGAGTTTGAGCGATTGCTCGTCACTCACCGTCGATCGCAGGGTTTGTCTTGAAAATGGTTGCAGAGATGTGAATTGCGGCTTATGAGGGGAATTTTGCACTTTTTAAAGTTCGATTAGCTAGCTCATGTTGACTGATATAACCCGTAGCTTTTGGAAAGCTGTAAAGTTACTTAAAGTTAGTTAGTTATTACTTAAAGTTAGTTAGTTAAAGTTAGAAAGCTGTAAGTTTCGTCTATTCGGTTATGGGGTAGGGTCATGGTGATTTGTACAAGCTCCATTGACCATGAGTCCTACCTGGCGCCCCCACCGAGCCGAACTCCGCAGAAACTCTTGCGGCCATAGTCATAGCCGTGTTACTTTCGTTAAAGAACACAAAAATGTTTCATGATGATCTGTTCCATTGCTGTAAAGCTTGACATCTGGGGTGACTAGCTGGATAGTTCAGAATTCGTTCTTCTACTCTTTAAACGTACACTGACGCCTTTTTAGTAACCTACTTTTTTAGATCTTCGTCATTTCTTTTGTCCGTTCCGTTATAAATACAGGGCTGCTGTTATTTCTCGCTCAGGCTAACATTTATTTATTTTAATTCATTTATTTTTTGTTTTTTTTCATTTTTTTTGTTATTTCGATCCTCCCTCCTCGGTGTACAACTTAGTTTCAGTCATTAAAGCTTGAGTGATCAACGTTATATTTCGCAGTCGTTATCTCATTACTTCTACTATATTCGAGCTCCTCTCAACTAAATTATAGTCTGGTTAGCTGCGGATGAAGCGGCGTGTCCAGCGAGATGGGTTTGGCGCTGCGCCAGCCCGTTCTCTATCAGTTGTTGAAGCGGGTAATGTACAAATGTTGATAGAAAACAACTGCTACGTACAACATAATACAGTGTTTTTGCTTGCTCGCTACAACAACTATTAGAAAACGGGTTCGGCGCTGCGCCAATACCATTACACGTGACACGCCTCTTCATCCGCAGCGAACCGGACTGTGCTTGAACTTTTTCTACTGCCATAATAAGCAGTTCAGTTTGGACCACATGTTCTGCAGTTGGAGGCATAAATTTATGGGATGATCTTCAAAGTCTAAATTCAGGCATTGCTTGTTCCAGGTATTGTGGCTCATAGACCACTATCGGACTCGTCATGCGCGATCTGCTAATCCGTTCCATTGCGTCATTGAAGGATGTCAAATGCGCTTTTCCACAACAAACAGATTGGAAGAACATGTTCGGCTTGAGCACATAAAACCTCCTAAACCAGGTTAGATTTAATGTTCTCATATTGAACAGAGCGCGCTAAGCTCCATTAAGATTGTACGACGTAGTCGACTTCATCTCTAAGTAATGACACTTTCTGTGAACCGGTGAAGAAGAAATGCTATAGTTCCATTTCTGTCTGCGATTTTTATCACAGCTTTAGAAGGTTCGGCAAAAGTCTCGAATAAGGTTGATATTTCGGAATTCCCCTAGCACAGCGTCATTCCCGAAATGTCGTCCAACTCTGCTTAAAAACCACAAGAAGAATTTTAACGCAGTTTGGCGACGGGGGGGGGGGGGAAGGGCATCTTCATAGAGTTGGTAGAAACTGGCTTGCCTGCTGCTTGTAAAATACCTTCTTTAACACCTTGTAAAACCAATGATTACTCATGGATAGTAGCAAAAGTGCAAAAACCACCTACTTTTCACGCCTTCCCCCGCCCCCCACCTCTACACACATTTTCGCCGCCGAACTGCACGGCGAGGTTCCCCGGAATTTGGACAAAATCCCTAGATCCAGAATCAGTGTAATTTCGCCATATTTTTGAGTCATTGCTCAATATATTATTCCAGGTCAACGGAAGTTCGATGTTGTGGTGAAGAAGGGAGAGAAAATCGATTTAGGTTGTGCGGACACGACGGGTGTACTCATCCTGTTCGTGAGTACTCGATTTTCTTATTTTGTACGCTATAAGAAACCACTTTTTGAATGTTTTGTCAAGATAGCGTGTAGCGCTTTCGGATCGTTTATTCAAACTATTATTATATCAAAATCTCAATTTTCTGTCGAATTTTCAACTATGTTCGTTAATCACCGTCCCGGATTACGAGCCTAACTCTCAGTACCGTCAGCTTTTTCGACAAGATTGATGTACCCTACTTTATTAGTTATTGAGCGCAATTTTGCCTCGAAAGCACTAAAAATTTTCCTACCTTCTTTTTGAGTATATTTTGTTTGCTTTTACCTACCTGACTGATCTACATCGGATAAGAAGTCCGGAGACCATGCAACTAATTGCGCCTCATACTCCAGGAAATAGAGTGATTTTGTTTTGGATTATTTGGCATCCTTATTACAAACTGGGCACTCATGTTTTAGCGTTTAGCACAGACCCCACGTTTCCTCAGCAATACGTTGCTCACTTGCGCTTGCGGTTATCTGGAACTGTGATCACAAATACTAACTAGCAAAAAGAAGCTCACCTAGGGAGCAAAATAATCTTATTCCGAATTCGAAAAGATGAGGTGAAACTTCCTTCTCACACGATATCCCCTTACTTCGAATGCAGGAACTCGTACGTTTCCCATTTATGCAGCCTTTCGCCGCTGATGTCGCGAAGTATAAACGCTGCCTTTCACTCACTTTTGCCACCTGTTCCATTTGGCTCTCTGCTAGAGCGTTGCCCAAAAACAGATGCGCCTTAGCTCTGCTATGGCTGGGCCAGAGTGATCCCCTTCCCTCTGGCCCAGCCATAGCAGAGCTAAGGCGACCAAAGTGCTCTCTTAGTGATAAGGACGTCTGATTTTGACAAGGAGGGCAGTAGCACAACATTGATTCGCGAATTGAAAAAACGAATAGAATTTTGCTTGCGCCAAGAAAAATTGTCATCGGTAATAATCACTATACTTAATAATCACTATACTAAGTAATTCCCCAGACAAAGTCCCATCAATACGATTTTTTTGAGATTTTCGGATAGTAGTGTGTCGCTTCTCGTCCACGTCCTTGGCATGAACATTGTTTCAATTTTTCAAATTTTCAATGCTGAAAAATTGTGACCTCTCTGCGTGTTCTTTCCTTCTAGTACTTCTTTCCTTCATTTTAAACTTCAATGTACTCACACGCCATTTTCAGGGCGTAATCCGATATTATACTGCCCACGTTTTGACGAGCAACTGTTGAAGTGTGTTCGCATGATGAACAAGCATAATTTCGAAGTCACCTTCACTCCGATCGACTGCAACGCTGATGTGAGAGGAGCTCAGCGAAGAAAACGTTTCCATCGCCATGCTTACCGTATACAGCCTACCAGTTCACTGCCTCCAAAGTTAGCAAGACAGGATGATAATGTAGTCAGTAGTCAAGTAAGTGTTTTCTTCTACATTACCATACTTCTTTGCATTGCGGTTTCTTTTACTTTTATCCTCTTGTGTAGCTTATAGTTTTTCCCCTATTTTCTGAGTATTAGGGCAAATTCAGTAACACGCGGCTGCGAATCCTTACTCAAAGATTTTGCTGGTACTATTTTGTGTGTTCTTTATCAGTGTTACAGTCATCGTATCCAATAAGAAGGAAAAGGCAATAAAGTAAAGAGGCTGAACTACGCTTTTTGCGCACGTTGTCACGTGCGACTCTGCAAAATACCCTTATACCCCAGCATAGTTCTAATTTTGATTTCTCTTGAAAGCCATTTGAAATGAAATGGAATTACCGTTCTAGAAACTGCATGCCTCCTTCCCTTCGCTTTTCCCAATGATGGTTGCAACGCATTTCAGTTCTAGACTAGTCCAGTCCATGTGTCCCAACCTTGCAAAACCCTGCCCATCTTGTTTGACTTTCTTTATTGATATTGCACTTTCCCAGGGTGCGTACTTCGCATAGTTAGTCCTGTTCGAAATGGAACACCGATACGTCCAACTTATTGGGCTTTTGTCAGACTGCGATCTATCAGTGGTCTTCCTTATGTGTAACGATGTTTTCCGTGCGTAACATTGCCTTCTTCGGAGCCTGCAAGTCGAAACCTCGAAACCTATCATTGAAAGAAGTTACCCAATCACCATTTCAAACTACAGTAAGAAAACACCGCTAGGAGATCCTAGAACTAAGTCGTAAAGCCACTAACCTTTGACGGATAGAAGTTCTACCGGGCACTCTAAGTCTCAAGACTGCACGAAGGTTTTTATATGTTTTGAAACTCCGAGGTAACGGGTCAGAAGGCTTGAGGGGAACAACCAAAGGACGGGCCACCGTTGCAATTAGACCAACCTTAAGGGACCAACATATAAAAACCTTCGTGCAGTCTTGAGACTTAGAGTGCCCGGTAGAACTTCTATCCGTCAAAGGTTAGTGGCTTTACGACTCAGTTCTAGGATCTCCTAGCGGTGTTTTCTTACTGTAGTTTGAAATGGTGATTGGTAACTTCTTTCAATGACAGGTTTCGACTTGCAGGCTATGAAGAAGGCGATGTTCGCCGAAACGTTAGCAGAATAAATCATCTGTACCACTCTCGGGTGGCTAAGGAAATATACTGGATTATTACGTTACTAATGCCGAGATTAATCGAAAGTTGATCGTGTGATTTACTTACTTCTGAATCTTTCGAAGAATATGACCTTTGCAGAGCATTCGAGATAAAATGACTTCGTTCTGCAACACCTTTTTTGATGTATCCTCTTCAAATGATGCTATGAACAATAGGAGAAAAATTCGTATTGAGAAGATTGCTCCGTGAATATAATAAGTAGAGTGTGGCCTTCCAAGAAAGAACTCCGAAGATCAATGATTTGCTTCGTAGACGCAATTTTGGACATAATTTATTTATTTATT